GCTTTCCTTTCCTAGTAGAAACACCTTCACTTCTTCAGGCATTTCACTGTTCCATTTTTACAAACCTTTGTTTTTTATAGCATCTCTCTTATTAGCAAGGATGGTATGCACTTCTGGTTTGCACATTCTTTTTAATTCTAGTACTTCTCACAAACTGATGGTGGCAGTGATGACTAAGAGATTATACCTGTGATTTTTTTTTAAGATTTAGAATCAGTGCTGCCTGCAGAAGAGTAAATTGGATAAGGACATGAAACCAGAAAATTTCTTTTTCAGTTTTTCTTGTGATTCCTGGGATATAGGTGAAGGACAGGGAATTTTCACTTTTCAGGCATTAGAAGCAAAACACATATATTTGTTAAAACTCTGTATTCTGCTCTTATTCCAAAATAAGAATAATGAAGATGTTTGGGTACACTTCTAATGAAGTAATATTTGTCCATTGCCCTGACGATTTTGCTTCTCCTCCTGTAAGCTTGCATGCTTCTGTTTCAACCAGAGTTTGAAACAGCAGTTGAAGAGCAGCTGTCCAATGAAATTATTATTTTAATATATTGTTCAAATTCTATGGCAGGCTCAGCTTTACACCAAGCAAAGACAACTGCTTTACATATTTTGGAATTTTTTTCAGAGAAAGAATTAATACAGTCAAATTTGGAACAGATGAGTTCCTCTACTTCCTTTTTACCCAAGAGCCAGCTGTTACTTTCTTGTCATGGCTTAATTTTTTGCACATCATTATTATCAAACCAGCAAAACACACTGAACCACGACCAGGAACGTGTGGCAGTTTGTAATACTTCTATTCTGCTATTCCAGTCATAAATCTTAAGCTTGTGTTTCCATATTGTTACTCCCTGCTTTATATTTTAATGATCTTAAAATCAGTCTTTACCCATAGATTTCACAGAATTTTCTTCATTTTCAGTGAACATCATACATGATTTGGCATCACTGAAGGGGTTTACTACAGTAAATAAATCACTTTGGTTCTGTTTTAAAGAATGCTTTTTGTATGGAATGCTTATCATTGCAATCTAACATGCAACTTTTCATCTTTTTTTTCTTTCTTTAGGCCAGCTTTTAAGATTTTTCTGTAATTTAGTCTATGTGAAGTAAATTTACCTCAATAACAAGCACAGTCACATCTGAATACTACTTCCCCCTAAATATATTTTTGGAGTGTCATACCTCTCATTGCTTGCTCATAGCAGAAATTATTTCCTTCCTTCTGGAAATTTGTAATTTGTAAGTGAAGGCTGCACTTAAACCAAAGAACATTCAGTGAAAAGGAAAATGCTTTTGCCACCAAAGGATCAGATGTAGACTACTTAGGGCAGGAGGTTTTGGTTAGTGCTGTATTTCATCAGTGCCAGAAGCAGACTGGAACCTTAGCAAACACAAACTGCAAAGTTCCCAATAACCCATTACCAAGTTGAAGTGTGAAACCCAGAAGCATGTTTAACAAACCACTAATGTGAGTTGTCTCCCTAGTAGTGATTGCATGGTGAAACAATTAACTGGCATTAGGCAAATGCTGGTTTAAAGGCCTTTGCAGAGAGTACTGTTTTAGTTGTCAATAAATCATTTAAATAGTAATGTTGCTTCCCTTTTCTTCTTCCTTGGTTCCAAACGGAAAAGAAAAGCTACTGCCTTTGATTCCTGCTGTTCTTGTGCTACAGTTCATATGATACCCAAAGGAATTGAAAGGGATAATTTTCAAAACACTAATGAAATTGGAAGATTCAACTAATTGAAGGTGACCTTTTAAAAAAAAATCATATGTATAAATCCTCTCAACATACAAAGGCTAATATCATCATGGAGATCCAAAGGCTATATTAAATAATATTATAACCAATATGTAATATATTCCATGTGCCAAAAGGGAAAGATCTACACACTTCATACTTTACTGGGCATATAGGAAAAGGATACAGAAACAGTCAGCAGAGCCCTGGAAATCTTCCTTCCTCTTTGGAGGAATTATATTACTCATTCTTCATAAGATGATATTTTATACATGCTGGGTCATCACATTATAGAAAATTATGTCTTTAAAACAATTATCATTAGAAGAAGTTGGGTTTTTTCCTGCTCCTTTGGTGGATTTACAAGATTTTATTATAATGACACTTCATTTCTGCTCACTGTGGTGTTCATTGGGCTTTTGTGTTGATGAAGAAAGCAATAGAGTTCGTAAGAAGTCAATTTCCATCTATCTGTTATCAAGTTGAACTTGGGAAAGACTGGTATTCTGCTACCAAGAAGATATTTGGTATCGAGTTTATCTAACGTGAATTATCTTTCTGCAAAAAAATATTTAATGAAATAATTCCTTAAGAAAATAACAGAGTTTTTTTTCCTTGCAGTTTTACATACAATGTGTAAGTTGAGGGCATTTGATCTTATATTGTTACTAAATAATAACTTTGACAGTCATATACTTTAAGGTATGGAAATAATGGGTCTTACAGTTAGTAAGTGTTGTTTTTACTTATATGTCATATTTTACTTATCTGTAACTGTTTGAAATACCTTAATATTTATTTTTTATGCTAATTTCTGCTTTGTTGCACATTGTAAAGTACTTTTATATATGTTATATTTATATATCTTATATATCTTTTATATATTTATATATATAATATCTTTGTTTTCATTTCTCCTAAATCTCATGTACTTCTATGGCACAGTAAAGAAAGCATAATGTAGCAATTCAGTTAAGTATGGTGGGAGATGTTTTGGCAGATACAAGAGTGTGATTAACAAGGAACAAATAAATATCCTTATAACATATCAGTGTTCTTAATTGGGTGGTTCTATAATTCCTACAGTGTGCCTCGAAATGCATAAACAGCAGAATAGATATTTTTCTACTGCACTGGTTTTCTTACTGATCATAGGTTAATTTGTGAATACATTGGTCAGTTTTGTCAGGAGGAAAGAGTTCTCTCTTTTTTTCCTGTTGTTACTCTGTGTTCTGATTTTATGCTGATGAAAAACAAATAAATTTATTTTATTCTATACCAGACTGAACACTGTAACCTAATAACAAAACCGGACTAACATTTATTTTAATTTGATGGGTTTTTCACAGGTGCTTAATGAACACACTACATCTTCTAAATTAAGGAGCTGCACAGAACAACACTTTGGTACTTTGTGATCTGATGAAATGTAGTTGGAGACTGCACAATGGCTTGCACTGAGGGATCCATTGGGTATGGAACATACTCCAGACTTGTTCATCCTTTGAAAATATTCAGAAGCAGGAGATTCAACAGTACCATAGATAATGCCTCATGCTGCCCTTACAAATGAAGAATGCTCCCTAGCAGTTATACAGAACTAAGAGGTTACTGAGGAAAACTGCAGAACTTTTCACATAGATGTTTTTCTGAGAATTTAAGCAAACATGCTAAGGGTAGAGCAGATACACCTGATTGTGTAGAGGACATTGCCAGGAGGGATAGCTCAATGTCCTTCTGTTTCTAAGGTGCTCTGAATCCTTGTTCTCAAGATGGAAGAGACTGGCTCTTTTAATAAAAATGCAAAGGAAATATTTGTACTACACTATGAGAAGAGCTGGGATATGTGTTTCTTAATAAATAAAATTAGTCTTAGAAAGATTTCTTAATATAGACAATGATAAACTAGCTTCCAAATTTGCTGTTCAGTCTTTTTTTGCTGAGGTCAATTTATCCATTACTAGAGTTACTTAGAAAGCTAGTGCTGGCAAAAATAGGAAGAATTTTTTTTCTTCAGTAAGCCTGTCACTCTTGCAGTAATACGTCCCACATGGGTATGTGTGTGTGGAAGATACACATTAACGCTAAAACATGAGTTTTGGTTCAGTGATGTGTGTTCCCTAAGGATCTGTTGCTGAGATCCAATATACTGACGCACTGGCTCTAGCTAAAGGCAATAAGGAATAAGCAAATAAGGCGTGGTTTATTTGGTTTTTATTACAAGACTTCTTGTTTCTTCCTCCTACATGTTACATAAAAAAACCTACACCTGACAAGTACTTTAACGTGCAAAATACTATGGAATTAAAAGCAGTTCTTTTTCCTTAGAAAGAAACCATATCAATGCCACAGCAGGACCTTGCCCTGAGATGTCCATGTACATCTTTCTTGTGCATTTCTCCAAAACCTCATCCAGCTGAAGGCAAAAAATACCTTTGATCCAACAAATCCAGGTGGAAGATACTGCATTTGAATTAGGGCGATCCCAAGCATGAGTATAGACTGGGAGAACTGCAGTCCTGTGAGAAGGACTTGGTGGTGCTGGTGGGTGAGAGGCTGGCCATGAGCTGTCAGTGTGCACTCCCAGCCCAGAAAGCCAAAGGTGTCCTGGGCTGCATCCAGAGCAGCGTGGGCAGCAGGGCCAGGGAGGGGATTCTGCCCCTCTGCTCTGCTCAGACCCCACCTGCAGGGCTGCAGCAGCTCTGGGATCCCAGCACAGGGAGGATGGGGACCTGTGGGAGCAAATCCAGAGTGGGGGACACCAGGGTGTTTAGAGGGGTGGAGAACCTCCCCTAAGACAGGCTGAGAGAGCTGGGATTGTTTAGCCTGCAGAAGGCTCCAGGGAAAGCTTGTAGCACCTTCCAGTACCTACAGGAAGAGTGATGGGCAGATAGCAATAGGGCAAGGGAGGATGCTTTTAAACTACAGAGGAGAGATTTAGATTAGATGTTAGGAAGGAATTCTTCCCTGTGAGGGCGGTGAGGCACTGGCACGGGTTGCCCAGAGAAGCTGTGGATGCCCCACGACTGGACGTGCCCAAGGCCAGGTCGGAGGGGGCTCTGAGCGCGCGCCTCCCGCAGGAGCCGGCCCCACCCGCGAGCGGAGCCGCACCGCGACCTTCCCTCAGGGCCCTCCCAAGCCCCGCCCAGCGGCGGCCGCGCGGAGGGCGCGCGGCCCCTTGCGTCACGGGCTGCGCGCGCGGCCATTGGCCGGAGCGGCCGCTGCTCCGCCTCCCGCGCCCGGGCGCGGATGTCGCAGCGCTTTGCGCCCTTGTCGTTCGAAACTCGGCCCAAGATGGCGGCGGCGGCCGGGAGCGCGGCCGAAGCGGCGGCGGCGGCCAGGTTGGAGGGGGCGGAGGGAGAGGAGGAGGAGACGGCGGCCGCGGCGGCGGAGGAGGATGAGGAGGACGGGGAGAAAGACGGCGGCGGGGCGGGCAAAGCGGCGGGTGCTGCGGCAGCAGTTGGCGGGGAGGCTGGCGGCGGCGAGAGCGAGGAGGACGACGAGGAGGGGGAGAATGTGTTCGAGGTGGAGAAGATCCTTGACGTGAAGAACGAGGGGGTGAGTGCGCGGGTCTTTTACCCTGAGCGAGGAGCACGTGAAAAGAGTAATCACGTTACAATTGCAAAGTTAACCGTGCTGTGCACAGTTGTGCAGAGAGGCTTTTTGTCCCTTGTTCCAGATTCAGTCTCTTCCGCCAAAGATAAGTCTTCACTAAGTTATTAGGTTTTGTCTGCAGTGTTAAACTGCTCTTGGCTCTTAGGGCTGAACTGAGGTAGTATTTTGATGTGAAATGTTTTAGTGCAGAGATGGGCAGGGTCGAATATCACAGAACTTAGAGGTGTTTTCAAGGTATCTTGCCAGGGACCGTGTTCACATATGGAAAACGGGGGAAAACCTCCTAAAATAAGAGTCTTCTCCTAATTGAAATAATAAACTGTAGTGATCTTGTATTGTTTACACTGAAATACCAGAGTTTCATTTGTTTCTTTGAAAGCAACCTAAACTGGTTGAAGTTCTTGAAAAATTTTCCTAAACCTCAAGTAGAAAAAATAATTAACACTTTTTTTTTATTATTTTGTACCTGAAAGATTTTTAACTAATTTATGTTTTTTATTTTAATCTTTAGTCAGTACAAGACATTATAAAATTCTGTCAAATCCATGAAAAAGATCAGTCTTGAAAGCTTTAGGCTGGAGAACCTTAAGATCAGCATTTTCTTCGATATTTGTGATGTTATTAAATTGCACCTCAGCTGAAATATGTTGATGTCTTAAGAATATGTTATGCTTTCAGGGTATACAGTATTTATAGCTTTGCCTGTATGAAGTTGGTCAGCATAAGTCATGCTTGAAAACAAGAGGATTCCTTTTTCTTTTTTTTTTTTCTTTTTTTTTGCACCGATCCCCAAGTGATGGCACCTGAAATCTGTAGGTTTAGGTGGTCGTGGTGTGAGACATACCATTAAAGAGTACTGTAATACATCAAGTACCATCTCAAGTGTTATTGGCACCTGCTGGTAAGAGGGTGTCTCCTTTCCATCCCCCTCCAAGCAGCCTGTTGTGCAGCAGGTTCTGAGTTTCCAGGCTGGGTCAGTGCAATGAGCTTCAGCATGTGGGTGTACCCAGCACACGTTGGATTGTGGCTTTGTGGCATGAGCTCCAAATGCATCAGGTGCCCTCTCAGTTGCTCTGCAGCAGGGCCTGTGCTCACGGGCTCCACAAGTGCAGGGTGAGGCAGGAACTCGTTCTCAGGTGTAAGTTCCCAAATGGCTGGGAAGAACCATGTGTCACGACAGAGTGAGTCAGCCACTGTCCAGCGTGGCATGAGGCCGGGTGGGGTGTTCTGTGTCACAGAACAGAAGTGTCACAGCTGGAGAGCCCTGCACAGCTCTTCCCACACACAGTACTGGTGTTACTGGGCTTGGCAGTAGTCGTAGGATGAGAAACAGCACTCCTGGGTTTGGCCTGAGGAGTTAGAACTGTGGATAAATAAAACATTAATGTGTCCTACTCAAGAGAATAAGCAGTGAAAGTTTGGAAATGTAGTCTGTCCATGTATCAATAAAGCCTTTTTTACTGCATCTCTGTTATACTAAAACAATAGGCTCTGGTGCAAATTATTCCCCAGTGGAAGCGGGAAATTTTGACTCTGCAGTTTAATGACATGGTGGTACCCCATGTTGGTTCTATCTCATCACTGGTTCTCACAGAAGCTAGAGCAGTATAAAAATGCTTGGAAGCATTCTAAGTGATAAGAGGAAAAAAACAACCCAATATTGTAGTCAAAGAGTGTTGATAGGTGAGTGTAAGTTTGTGTTTCTTAAGTGTGAGAATCAATCTTCCGCCTTCACCTGAATTTTGTATCACTCTCCTAAGCTGCATTTTTCTGTCACTCTCCATGTATGGGATGTAGTCATTCAACAGCCAAATGGTTTTGCGTTTGCATTAGACTTTATTTTATGCAGCTTTCTCAATTAATGAGAAAAAGGACTTGTAGCTTATTTGGTACCTGAGTTACAAGGATGTACCTAACTGCAGCTAGCAGAAGTCCTGCCTCTGAAAGGGAATAATCCTGTGCCACCAGGCAGGTGGGAGTCCAGCTGCCTAGGACACAGATTTGCAGGAAAGGGTGTCCCCACAGACAAGTAAGATGAACGTGAGTCAGCAGTTCTTGCAGCAAAGAAGGCCAGAAGCATCCAAGAGTGTAGCCAGAAGATCAAGAGATGCTTCAGTCCCTCTTCTCAGAGTGGTGAGAAGCGCTGAGTGCTGTGTGAAGTTCTGAGCTCCCCAGGACAGAAGAGACATGTACATACCGGAGAAGAGGGTGATGAAAACAGTTAGGAATCAGATCCTTCTTGGGGGTGCACAGGGAAAGGATGAGACAGAGAATGGACACAACCTGGAAGACAGGGAAACCTGCATGGATACACTGACTGGGCAGATATCTGATGTAAGTGGTCCTGCTTTGAGAGGGCATTTTACTTGTTAGTTCTGGAGAGCTCTTATAACCTAACACACTCTGTTATGACTGTAATGAGAAAGTTATGCTCTGAAGAAGTTGTTGCTTATTTTGTAAGTAATGCCAATAGAAGAGAGAAAGGAAGGAAGGAAGAAATACGATTTTTAAAACTTAATTCCTAAATGAAGAGAGATGAGTTAAGCTAAATTTTAAGAGAAATGTTAAACTAAGGTGTTTGAATATAGGCTGTTTATTTATTTAGATGTCTGTGAGGCAAAATACAGAAGATTGTAAATAGAGTTGGCTGCTGAAGTTCAGTGGCATGTGTACACACTTGGTCAAAGGTTAATTATGCTCAGGCAGATTTATGCATAGACATTTAACAGTAAGTGCCAAATGGCAGTTCTTCTGAAGATTCCTTTCTCCTGGCTTGGTTAGCATTGTAAGTTCTGTCAGAGCATTATCAGTCTACGTTTGAAAGCAAGAGGTACTATTTTGCCTCTGTAAAGGTGCTTTCCTTAGCACATTTGCTGAAAAAAATATTTTTTTAATGGTGAAGGACTTCGTAATTTAGTACAAGAAACTAGATAGAGACTCCAAAGTGCAATTTTATCCCTCAGTGAAGTGCAATACTGTTGAAACAATTGGTCTCAGATTTTTGTATGTAATCTATCAGAATCTTTGTAACTAAGTCCACTGAGATGCACACACTATGATTTTTGTCTAGGTTTAACTTGATCTCATTGCTGGGATTTTTTTCCTAATTGTTGGTATTTCAGTTTATCAAAAATAGAATTGATTACAAATGTAGCATAAATTATAAATTCCAATATGAAACTTGGTGAATGGTATTAATTAGTTAGAAGTCTTTAGGGCTTATATCAAGTAATTCAGCAAAGAGAAAGCAATCAATCTTGAATTTTTTATGGAAGAAGTATTAAAATTTTAAAAAATAGTTTCATAAGTGTCAGAAAATGCATTTTGATGAACTGACTGGGAATTTATGATATGTACATTTGTAGCTCTGGTTCTGAACAAATGTTACATACTGCAAGTATTTTGGATAAAACTATTCCAACTACAGAAATACTGATTTTTATACACACATAATTGTGTATCCACTGACATCCTCAAGAACTGACTAGCTGATGCAGTACTATGCTATATTGTATTAAATATTGTGTGTTTTTCTTGCAGGGTAAAACTCTCTATAAAGTCCGGTGGAAAGGATACACCTCTGATGATGATACCTGGGAACCAGAGTTTCACTTGAAAGCCTGCAAAGAAGTGCTTCTTGAATTCAGAAAAAAGATTGTGGATAATAAGCCTAAACCTGTTAAAAAAGACATACAGGTGTGTTTCAACTTTAAGTGTCTTACACTGGAGACATAATCCCTATCTAGACTCTACTAATGAGAGGAGGGGAGAAGGGAAGGCATTTGAAATGTGGAATTAAGAAGACTTCAGGAATCTCACCTAAAACTGCTTTGTTTCTTGTGAAACTTAATATTGTTGCCGTTGTCTGGTAGGGACTTTTTTGCTGAGAAGTTTGCTTGTAGACTGAATCCATCTAAACTTCAGTTCCATTTCTAATGGGACTATGTAGGTAATGTATGGTCATTTTAGTTTGTTTTTGACAACATAAATAAACCCCTTCCCCTACCCACATGCATATTGTCTTGTCACTGAAGCTGAGCACACTGTTCCAACCACCCTCCTGCTTTCTGTAGGAGATCAATGAGTTTTAACATGTAGTCATTAAATTTAGTATGAGAGGAATACAGAAAGATTAGATGCCAGAGGGCATAATACGGCTTTTTCTTTTCTTAACTGCTCAGTCAGTTTGAAAAATTAGTGATCCTTTGAAAAGGATCCTTTTTGAAAACTGGTACCCTGCTTCTGGGAAACCTGTAGGTAAATCCTACAAAATCAGATAAATTATTTTTGATGTAAAACAGCTCAGATTCAGTTCTGTTCTGAAATCTGGTTGTTGGATGTGTAGTTGGGTTACTTGAATTGTTTGTGTATTGATTCTCATCCAAGCAGTTAGTAATGCAATTTAGGTAATTAAGATAGAATTGTATTGTCACATTCTGCAATTTGGCAATGAGGAATGATCTTGGCAGGGATCAAAAGATTAAAGTGCTTAAAAATTTACTTTTCCCAAGCACAACCACTACCATTTTTTTATACTTTCATCTAAAGTGATAGTTTATTGGGGAAGGAAAAACTTCTTTTTCTTTGCCTTTTAGAAACTGTCTCTAAATGATGATATATTTGAAGCAGAGTCTGACAGCGACTGGCAAAGTGAAACAAAAGATGATGTTTCACCAAAGAAGAAAAAGAAGAAGTCAAAAGAGGGAGAAGATAAAAGTTCAGATGACCTGAAGAAGAAAAAATCTAAGTCTGCAAAACTCAAGGAAAAACCCAGAACAGAATGTGAGAACTCCTCAGATACTTTGGTTTTAGATTCAAAGGCAAAAAAGAGGGCTTCAGAAACTAAGGAAGATTCAAAGGACCCAAAGAAGCAGAGAAAAGAAGATACTAAAGAAATCAAGAAAAAGAAGGGAGAAGTTAAAGATTCAAAAATAAAATCTAAAGAAGATTCTAAAGAAAATAAACAATCACAGAAGGAGAAGCATGGAGAGGTTCAGTTTGAATCAGAATCAAGCACTGTAGATTACTCAGTTTATCGAGGAACTGATAATGAAAATTCAAACATAAATTCTGAAAATAAAGACGAGAAACAAAAGGTAGCAAGTGAAGAAGAGAGATTGGAACAAGAAATTGATGAAAAAGATGCCATAACTGATAAATATCTTGATGGCTCAGCTAGTAATGAGGATGACAGTATTGATACTAGGGCTAAAAGAAAGAAGAAAAAAATTCAGAAAGTAGAAGACTGTAGAGAAGAAGGTGGAAAAGTAGAAATTCAGGATACTCATTTAGAGAAGAAGAGCACGCACAAAAAGCAAACAGGTCAAGAAAAAGTACCAGGAGAGCTGGAGAAAGTGTCACCTGTTCCTTCACCAGTGCAGAAGGGTTTGAAATTGAGCTCTGCTGAAAGGGTGTGCAAGCCCACTGATTCTCCTGAGGAGGTGAGCATGGTAGGATGGTGGCTGGGGTGTAAAATCAGTCATTTCGAGGTACAGATACCTCAAACCACAACTGTTCATGATGGCAAAGAGAAAAGTACAAATTGGAAAGGTACTGAGCTGCATGAATTTAAAGAAACAACCACTGTGCAATGTATAACAGAGACTAGGAAATTTCTGAATTCTGAACACTTTAAAGGGAGGAATTCTTTAGGAGAGGAGAGCATATTTAAGGATAAATTTCTCCCGTATACTATGGCGTCTTAGAATGAAATTTCCAGTTCTTGCAAGGTATCCTGTTGTTTTTGCTCTCTCAAGACACCGGCCATTCTGTTAGGGCTTACATGTGGTTGCATCTGCCTGAGAACTGGAATGGTGAAATCACTTCTGAAGCCCTGTTGTCCAAGACAATTGTGTAGTAGGCTTGTCTTGTTAGAATTCCTGGTGTGCTTATAGCAAATGCTTAGTTTCATGACCTGGTTTCATATTAAATAGAAATAGAAATGCTGTGCCAGTTGTAAGAAATGAGCTAAGCAAATACCAGGATATTTTTCCTTATTTAATGCAGCAGAATTTTAAGAAAAGCAGTATTGTAAAGGCAAAAGAAAAAAAAATATGACAAAAATAAAGGTTTATTGTAATGTTCTGGGAATGTAATTTCAGGTGCTTCAGCCTGTTCTAATACAGTTAGCAGTTCATAAAACATTGAGCAGCCATGTTGTGATTTAACAGGATTGCAGCCTGTTACACACCTTGATACTAGACTATATCCCACGTCTGAGACTGTGGTTGGTGACGGAGACAGGAATGTGACAAGCACACAGTGAGTCCACGCAGGGACAGACGAAGTTTATTGTTGGGTGCCCCCTTTTATAGGGGCTTCACATTTCCCACACTACAAACGCGATTGGTTAAGAGTCTTAGCTCTGCCCAGCTCCCTGGCCAATGATGCGGGTGCATCTGTGGTTCAAAGGGATTGGCTGCAGTCCCTGTTCAGGTTTGAATCTGACCAATCAGTAACATGCCAACATGCCTAGGGACTGGTTTACTTCTATTCTGTAACAAACTAGGTACGTTGAGTTGAATTAAGCCAAATTACCTGTGCAGCTATAGACCAGCTGTAGCTGTCACAGTTCCCCCTTTCTGTTTTAAAATTGCAGGGTGTTCTCTGTCATCCCTCTGCAAGGACCCTTTGCAGATAGAATGACAGGACAGCATGATGACACATACGATTCTACCTAATTGGACAAGCTTAGCCTCTTCCAGCCAGTGATGCATCCCACATATCATTGAAGATGTTATGTTCATTCCCAGGAGCTGTCAGGTGGGATTACCAACAATATGACCTTCCAAATTGGCATGCCACAGGTTTATTATTAGGAAGTTACAAACAACTTAATTCAGGAAACATTTCAACTTTTAAAACCATGGGAAAACGTACCAACAAGGAAAACAATCTGGTTTAGTTCAGGTCTCCAACTCACATCCTTAAATATATAAAATCCTCAGTTCCTCATCTTCAAATATATAAAATATGTGTGTCCTTAAATAAAGTCCTTAAATAAATTTGTCACCTTAGATGTCCCAGATCTCCATGTATCAGTTGCACAAGTTGTCTTAACTCACTGCTTCATGACATCTGCTGGAGCTTCATCAGGAAGATGTCTCTGGTCCTGAGCAGGACGTAGGGCAGGGCAGACACAATTGGCAAGTATCCATCATGTTCTGGTTTCTATGGAAACACAAGCATACCACCATCCCCATGCAATAAGATCCCACGGACCTTCCCACTTATTAGTCATAATATCTTACCAGTATTTTGGGTGTAGGTGACTGGGCATCATCAGATTACTGCTGTGATAGAAAATTATTTAAGATAACTGGATTCTGAGATTGTTCTGGTACTGTTAAGTGATTCAAGGTATAAACAGCTTTTGCTACACTGCTCTGTGGGCTCTCATCACACATTCCTCCTTTTTGTTTTTCTAAAATGCGCTTTAAAGTGCCATATGCTCTTTTGATGATTTTGATGGCTTGTCCCATTGCTAATCAGGGAATACCGGTGGTGTGACACACCCCAGAGTTGTAGGAAATGTCTGCTTTTATGTAATGTATATGTAGGTCCATTATCTCTTTTGATGTTATAAGAGATACCCAAAGCAGCAAAGGCAAATTGCCAATGTATGATGGCATCCCAACCTTTTTCTCTCAAGTGTACTGATGCCCATATAGCTGAGGAATAAGTATCGATTGACACATGCACATATTTTAAACATCCGAATTCAGGAATGTGTGTAACATCAGTCTGCCAGATTTGTAAAGCTTTTAAACCACAGGGACTAACTCCCATCTGTAGCGCAGCAGTGTGGCCCTGGCAATCAGCACAGGTATTGACTATATTACGAGCCTCTGTAATTGAAGTGATATGGTCCTTCATTACCCAAATACTTTACTTACAGTTCAAGGCTATAGTGTTTATGAGAATAGAGACAAGAATAGGAAAGGTCTTTGGAATTCTGTTCTATTTACCAGTTGTATAAAACTCCTGTGACCTTGACCATGAATAAATCAACAGCAAAGTGGGTTTGCTTGTGGCTCTTCAGTTAGCATTCTCAGTAAGTTGTTTCTGTGCTTTTCTTGGGTTTGTGCTCCATAGAAGGTTATGCTCCAGGATACCAGGAAAGTATGGAAGGTGTTCTGCTCTTAGCTTCTTTTGAGTGTAGAAGGCTTAATCAGTGTTTTCTGTAACCGGTTAGTTGTTCTCTGGAGCAGTGTGGACTTGCATGGCAGGGTTTGGTGGAGAGGTCTGCAGGGGTTTTTTTTGTTCACTAAATTATCGGCCCAAGTAGATGATACCTTTCAAAGAAAATCACCTATATTTCAGGTACCTGTCTTTCTTTATGTAACTCTGCTTTATAAAACACCAACTATGTCAATTTATAACACAATATTTTCTTTTCGGGGTCAGTTTCCATGCTGAACCATTCCTTCCATTTCATTTGCCTCCAAAAATAAATGTGTATGTTGTGCATCTGATCAGCATTAGAAATCTGGAATAGAATTCAGGATTACTCATTTTAACAGCCCCAGTGTAGCAAAAATCTGCTAGTCCCTTTAGTAAGTTATGGATTTCCTCTTAAATACCAAGCATCTGGCAGGATTAGCAGCTGCTTGTGTTAGCATTAATCACATCAGTGATCAAAAGCTGAGGTTTGTGGAGGGAAGTGAGACAGTGAGGAAAGCAATTAAATGTCTCAGCTTTGTTAATACATGATGATACACCAAATTAATCTGGTTTAATTAAGGTTTTTGCTATGTCAGATGGTAGCATAAATATGAATTATTGTGAAGGTTTCTTTTGGGGCAGTTTTTCCAGAAAGACAGTGCTACTCCCAGTGCCAGGTTAGTATCAGAGACTGATACAAAGCCATGCCTTGTCCAGCCTACTCTGCAATGAATTTGCTGAGTGAAGAGAAAAGATTACAGGAGAAGAAAGGCTAACTTTGCTAGAGACAGTTGAATTCCATTTTGGCAAATTTGATTATATATTTACATCTACAATAAGTTTTTTTTCTGTGATATTAGATACTGCTAAGCTCAGACTTCTGCAGGAATATCATGAGTTTGGGTGGATTTTGCCAAGTGTCTGTTTTTCACAAATAACTGTTGCCGTAACATTCTGACTGTGTAAATTGGAAAGCTTGGAATCTTTTGTGTCCAACTGTCAAGTTTTCTCAGTTGAGGTTCAAGTCAATGCTATCAGAACGCTTCAAATGCAGTGCAACAAAATTGTTAAATGCTCTCAAATAATTGCATTCTATTCAGGTTCACTATTTGGAACAAATGAAAAGTTCATAATTTTGAATTTCCTTCTAAGTGCTGGTTTTATCTTGTCTGCAGCTCTTCCGTAAAGCAACTTGAATGATTGGGATGCAGTAAAACTATGAATTGAAGTTACTGTGTTCAGGAAATAATACCCCTACTGTTAGGGAAGAAGCCTTCACAGACTTAACTCCTAACTCACCTCTTTAATTCTTAGGAATGTCTACAAGACTGTTGCATACTGTTCAGTGGTATTAATTGTAAATATACTTGATTGTTGGAGTGGTGAAAGGAGTTTGTTTTCCATTTTTTCTCTACCACTGAAATTTGATCTTTGTTTTCAATTATAGGAAAGAGAAGTAAAGAAAACCGAAATTAAAGAAAAATCTCAAAAAAAAGAGTCTGAAAAAGAAGAAAAAGTCAGAAAAGAACAGAAGGTTCTAAAAAGTAAGTGCTAACTTCTTGAAACAGAGAAGGGAATGACCCTTCAGGGCATTCTCTTCTTATTTCTATAAGGGCAGATGTTCTGTAGTTTTGTAACACCCACACCCCAGAAATAAAGAATTCTGTTTTTATTTTAGGAAGCAAAAGTCTTCTGTTTAACGGCTTTGCTAATACGTGCTTCAGGCGAATGTTAATATATGCTTCATGTATGAGGCATGGAAGTATATAGAGATCTCTGACATTTTTGTAGACAAGTCAAGATTTTGCCCTTTTTTATTTGACAACTGTGCTTCTCTGGCATGTAACAGTAATCTTTTATTTTTTTATTTTTTAGAGGAATTCATCCAACCATTGACTATTTTCAGAAGTGTTATGGCAATATTATGCATATATATTTTTTATATTTAGAAAAACTAATAGGGGCTCCCATCAGACTAACATCTTGCCTCCTGCTTCAGCCAGAGATGCTTTATATCATACAGCCCTGGATGATACACAGCGAAAAATGTCTAGGTTCTGTTTCTACTCCTAATAGTATAATGGATTATTAGTGTAACTGCTCTTGATCTCAGAAAAACTCTAGACTACTTTTTTCAGGATAAATTCTTTCACTAGAGAAGCACCTTTTTCTGAAAGTGGCATAGATGCTTACAGTGCTTAGGAAAAGTAATAGGAAGCAGAATTATTAATGATTGTTTCTGTGCAGCACTTGTCTTTTGTCTGGTCATCACAGATACTGAACCGTATTTTAGAAATAGTAATTAATGCAAAATTTTAAACTGCATTTCTTAAAAGGAAGATGGTACCATGTTGAAAGCAGTCAGAACTCAGACTTACCAGGGTAGGTGGAGGTGGATTAGCTCTCTCTGACTTTTGTCTTATGTTCAGCTTGCTCTGTGCTCCAATACTTACAGAAAGATAACAGATCTTTTCTAAATGGATGCTCGTCGTTTTCTTAAATTTTTTTATGTAATAGTCTTTAGTGGCTCAAGTAGTCATTCTTGGTAACTGTCTCAATATTCTAGGCTTTAAGGTCATCGAAAGTGCATTTGAGTTGTTTAATGTAGCTTCAGAAGGAAAAAAAAAGTAAATATGAGAATAGCTGCAAAAGAGAAGAATCTTTGCTAGAATATGAATTCATAGAAGAGTTAAAAGGGCAAGGTATATAAGGAAAGGAGAAATATAAGAGATGAAGCAGACATGACCTTGCATTGCTGCAGAAGGGGATTGAGAAGTACTGGGTGTGAGTCATATGGAGAACACTGGTAGATGAGATTTTCTGTAATCCTCCTTGCATCTCTAGTGCTCCAGTTCTTGTCTGCAGGAGGTTGAAATGAAGTTTTCTTTTGAAGCTCACTGATACCTTTTCAGTGTATTTTCAGTGCTTCTGCTACTACAGTGATGGAGTGTTCACCTTCCCATAATCACTCAGCCTTATTTGTTATAACAAATTAACAGTTTCTTTCAAATAAAAGTGTTTTGTTTGTTTGTAATGTAGCCTTGCTGCTGAGAACCATTCTATGCTGACTGCCAGAGTTTAGTTGAATGAAAAATAGCAGTAGCCATTTGTTAAGCTGCTGATCATTAAAGCAAGGGCAAACATTCATTAGCTTGAAAATTTACAATTTGCTACTTACTTTACTTTTTTTTTTTTTCCTTTCACAAAATTAAATACATGCTAGATGGCAAGCAGCAAGTTCTGAGTTTGGGTATGGACATGCAGTTAGAATGGTTGACACTAGAAGAATTCCAGAAGCATCTTGATGGAGAAGATGAGAATCATGTACCAACAGAACCAATATCAAGTAGTGAGTATTTTCTGGGAAGGAGGTCTGTTTCTTAGCTTGCATTTCCAAGGGAAATACCTTATAACAGCATTGAATTTATTTTCTAGCTCTCTTGAGAGATGCTGTTAAAAGTGGAGACTACATGACAGTGAAAATGGCGCTTTCTTCAAATGAGGACTATAATTTGGATCAAGAGGTAATTTTTGTGCAATAGAAGTATTGGAAGACAGTAGGGGGGAAGAATACAAATTTTGATTTGTATGAAAAGCTTTCCCCTCTTGGGTTTTAGCAGATTTCCATCTCACCTGGGTAAAAAAGCACGAGCTGTCAAAAAGGAGTACAGACTTGGAAGTATCAGTATTTTTATCCATTTCTTCCAAGAAAAAATGAAGTTTGATAGAACCATCCCAGTAGCTTTCCACCCAAATTGCCCACTGTATTTAACTGACTAAATGTGGAACTTCGCATGCTATTAGGAATTATAACCACCAGTTCAAGTGGCTGAACTATGTAAAACATTGTACATGGGAAATAAAACTTAAAAAACCCAAAAACCTGAAAGTTATTTGATACACTGGTACCATTTCACTTCATAATTAGTTTTCTGCCAGTTTGTCATCAGCTGTGTTCTTAATGGGTTTACTTTCAAGGATCTATTTTCCTGTTGAATAGTATTGTAGTTCCATTTTTGAGTTTTAAAATCTCCAATACTGCTATTTTCACTGGTGATCCTGTGTAGTTCCATTGTGTAGCATTTTGAGAACTCCACATTATGCTAAGACTTCGGAGTCTTTTGTAAGAGGTGTCATAGGGAAGATGCCAAATGAATTACTGAGGCCATCATGTGTTCTGTGAGTTGTAAGGTGTGGTGAAAAACACAGGAATGAGTGAGGAGACTGGCTGGTCACAAAGTGCTTTGTACTTACACTGATAAAAATCAAAAAGCAATGCTGTGGGAGCTGACTTGAGCCATAGTGTTCTTTTTCAGGGGTGCTGACTTTTATTTCCCACAGTCTAACTATCTTCCCCACTCTCAAATACCTTACAGCCTTTCTTCCTGGTTCGTTCTGGTTTTCTTGCTCCATTTTCTGGTCCTCAGAACTGCAATGGATTTTGCAGATTACAGAGCTCAGAGTGTGAGACCTGCAGGCCAGAGAAGTAGGAGGTGATAGTTTGCTGGTATCTGGCAGCCACGTATGTGTGAAGTCTTCTGCCAGGGAGGGAAATATTTGTGAAACATGTTGATGCACTTGAAATTTTTATCTTCCAGCTTTGATTTATCTTGAAGTTTTTCTTCATTATTATTTTTTAATGGCAATGATTCTTGTTCCAGGACTCAAGTGGAATGACCCTGGTAATGCTTGCTGCTGCTGGAGGGCACGATGACCTTCTGCGGGTGCTGATCAGGAAAGGAGCTAAAGTTAATGGGAGACAGAAAAATGGAACAACTGCATTGATACATGCAGCTGAAAAGGTTGGCTTGGTTATTGTGTATTTGTGGTTCTGGGCACTTTTACTTACATTTAAAGGTGGTGCACAATTTTTTACCTTTGGGTATGATGCCTAAAAAGTGGTAATCAAGATACAGCAGAGTGACCTTAAATGCATAATTTCAGCAGCTGTGGTTATTGTGGTGTAAGTAAGTTCTGGTCACAAACCCTGCCCTGAACAGAGAATATCATAGAAGGAAAAGTGGAGGCAGAGGGTATTGCTGGATTTTTTGTCTGAGAGCTTAACTCCTTGTGCTAGAATTGCTTGCTATGATGTCTGGCTACACAATACCCAAACTGGAGACACTTAGAAAGAAAATCTCTGATTAAACAGGATTTGGTATTTTTAAGCAACTGGGCAATGGACACAGTGGCGAGCTCTTCCCAAACTAAGACCAGCTAAAGCAGTAAGTTAGAGCAAGTCAGGGTTTCATGGGTGCACTCTTCTGTTCAGGTTGGTCCCTGTGCTTTCCCATGTACAGTAGATAGAAAGCCAGAAGGGAGACTCACTCCAGTTTGGTGGCAGATGCAAATACACTGCTTCCTTCCTGTGATGTTTATTATTGCAAGATTTAGAAAAAAAAGTAAGAATTGTAAATAATTTGGGCTATCTACTTGCCTAAGTCTGAACTGCTCTTTATTAGCCATGAGAGAGAACAATGTTAATTGTGCCATGACTCATGTTTTGAATTCTATGGATGAATTTTAAGTAAACAGCATTTTATATTCTGAAACAAAATCAGAATATTTTTTAGTTACTTGTGTTGTGTTTTTTTTCCCCAGAATTTTCTAACAACAGTAGCTATTCTTCTGGAAGCTGGAGCATATGTGAACATGCAGCAGAGCAGTGGTGAAACTGCCTTAATGAAGGTAAATTCTGTGTTTGTCCTACATGGTTTAATAGGACTACTTTTGCCAAACTAATAAAACACAGAAATGTATTTGTAGAATTGATTTCAGAAACATGTACCATATTTGAAATAAAAGTATTATTCATGGTTACTCTAAGCAGAGTTTTAATCCATTTCTTTAATGTACTGTAATATCTAAACAAGAAACACAGATGCCTTCAGCATGCAGTGCTAAATGTGGCTCATCATCCTCTTCTGTCGTTTGAAGAAATGCAGATGTGGTCTTCCAGCTGAGATAATCAGATTATCAGCAGGAGGAGAAAAATTCCCAGAAGGAAAATCTAGCCTATTTACAGTCTGATTCCCAGTCGCCTGTTCTGCACCATTACTCCCGCAGGCACAAAGGAATTTCTGTTTTTTATGGGAAAATTCTAATACTCTTAAAACAGTCTGTGCTTTAAATATTTTTTTCTTTATGTGGATGAATTTCACCAAAGTTTCCCTTTGCCTAAACTTGCTGAATTTATATGTAGGCTGTTTGTGTAGTTTGTTTGCCGAATTACAAAAGCTTTCCTGCCCAGACAATGTGGTATTGTTTCTGTTCTGCACTCTTTGAGGCTTAACAAGTGTGGGGATTTTGCATTTTCTCTGAAGACAGCAACTCACTTGTGGTTTCCTCAGCCAGTTCAGTCCAAAGTCTCTTCATAATTTGGCCACTTCCATGAACCTCAGTCTTGACCTTCATTGTTTTTAAACATTTTAAACATTGTTTTCTGTTAGTCTTTGATGCGCAGCAATACAAACCAATTAGCAGCCTACAGTGCCTTATTCCAGGTGGTTTTTTTGTAATGCAGATACAAAGAATAGGATCTTCATTTCCAGTAACTTCCTGGGACAGTATTTGCCTTCTGTGGATAAATCTATTAATGTGTTTATCAACTCACTCTTATTTAACCTTAGGAGTTTGATCATTTTTTTTTTAAGGAGAGAAAAAAAATCTGAGCACTCAATTCCTTTCTGTCAGGTAGTGTGAGATTTTTCTGTGTTTTTTGATTTGAGGAAGGCAGGTGGGTTGTCCTGTTTATGGAAGATGATAGATTGAAGGCACAGATCAAAGTTCAGAGCAGAGATGAATTTCAGAAGCTGTCTTCTGAAAGCTCTTAAAAAGATAAAAATGTTGTATCTCTTGTGCCTTTCCCTAATTTATATGAGTAAAATGTTTGAAAACAAGTGACCAAGAGCATGCATTTGCTTTCTTCAAAGTAAAAATTTTTTTAGATTTTCCTGTGCTTTTTTTAAGTCTGTGGTTGATGTGCCCTGAAATTCTTGCTGTAATAGTAAACAGTCTTGAACATTTATGCAGAGGATAAAACTGACTGTCTGACACAGCTACATACCAGTCTGGGACAAATTCTGTAAATTTACTGCATACCCAGAATACCATTTTAAACTGAGATGCATAGAAAAACAGGCACTTGATAATGTTACTTTAATAATTTCCAAATAGTTCTATAGAAACATATTTACTCAGGTAACAATTGCAATAAAATTTACAGTTACTGAACTCCAGCAGATTGCATGTTTTCACAGAACTTTTGGGGTTTGCTTTATTTATTTTTATTTTTTTTTCTTAATTATGTCTGCTTGGTAATCCTGAGTGTTCTACTTCCATAGGATTGGGTCTGTGGTATTGCCTGGATGAAGATGAAGTATTTATGGAGCGTGTTCCTGAGTTTCAAGTTGTAGTACCATTCACAGAGCAAACAGTTGAATTTCTGAATTGTAACTAATTTTGGATTTTAATTCACTTCTGCAGTTCTGCTTACTCTCACGTTATGCTCTATTTTAACGGGTTTGTCATTGTTTTCTGTCCTTCCACCTTTTCCCTTTCTGTACAGGCTTGTAAAAGAGGGAATTCTGATATAGTTCGGCTCATGATTGAAAGTGGAGCAGACTGCAACATTTTGTCCAAGCATCAGAACAGTGCCATGCATTTTGCTAAACAGTGCAATAACATAACGGTGTACGAGCAGCTCAGGAACCACTTGGAAAAGTGAGTAAACTGTACTTGGAAGTTTGTTCTGCTGAAGTTTTCAGTGCTAGGCATGTCATAATTCTGGTTTAAGTCAAGGAAAATGTCAGGAAAGAAAACAGATCTGATTTGGGCAGAAAGCTAACTAATAAATCATGTGAAGTTAAAATTTTGTGAGCTAGCATAATTGGCATACACTTGCTCAAGCACTAAGTAAAAGCGCGGAAAGGAGAAAAAGGTAATTCCTAGAAAGATTCCTTTAACTTAAGATACAGCAATTGTGAAAACTTAGAAGTGTATAAGCACTGGACCATTGAATGTGAGCTCTTAGTAGGGCATGCTAAATAAAATACCTTCCTAGAAAGCATAGGAAAAAAAATCAAACAAAAGAACACCAAGCAGAAATACCATGAAAAATCTGTGCAGGTGGTTGTGGTGTTGTTGGACCTTTAAACATCAGCTATGAGCTGAAAGTGCCGGGGATAAAATTTTCATGCCAGTAGATGATGGAAATCATCATCATCATCATCATGCAGAATGACTGAAGACCAGTGCAGTGTATGTGACATGTAAAGTGTTGATGTCATATGGTCATGTAAAAATATACTGAGCTAAACTGAGGCAAACATACAGAGAAGGAGCAAGCTCTTGAAATACCCATTTGGAGAAATACTGTAGTTAAAGTATATGGGCAGAAAATTATAACCTGCAATCTCTAAACTTGGGGAACACTCAGGGAGAATCTCAGGGCTTCTGCAGCAGGTGAGATTTTGCCATGAATGCATAGTTAGTGCTGGAAGAATACTGTCTCAGTGCAAGATTTTTTTTCTTGTTTCATGATGATTTAGTCCTAGTGATTTATCTATGTAATCTAAGAAAATCTCTCAAGTAGTTTGTAATCCAAATTTACTCTCTTCCAGTGCACAGAAAGCCCTGTCTGTTTTCTGTGTCCTATCTCTTGCATTTCCCATCAGCTGACTTAAGTCTGTCTTTACAGATACTGCCTTGTAATGGTCAATTTGTATCAATCAAAAAACACATGAAGTGACAGGGTAAAGGGAATGGAGTCAGGTTGTTCTTAGTGGTTCCCAGTGACTGGACAAGGGGCAGTGGCCACAGACTGGAACACGGGAGGCTACCTCTGAGCATTGGGAAATACTTTTTTCCTGTTGAGGGTGATGCAGCACTGGCACAGGCTGCTCAGAGTGGTTGTCAGGTCCTTCAAAACCTTCTAAAGATATCTGGACATTGTGAGGTTTCTGTCAGCCCACTTGTCAAGCCTGTCAGGGTCTCTTGTGGATGACAGAAATATACCAGAAGCTACCAGCCACTCCTCCCAGTTCAGTCTCATCTGCCAAAATGCTGCGGGTTCACTGCACCATCCTTTGGGTGGGTCATTAATGAAGATGTTAAACAGGACCAGACCCAGTATTGATCTCAGGGATGCAACAGTAGTGCTGGTTTCCAGCTAGATTTTGTGCTACTGATTTTTACTGAAGTAATGTGTTTGGATCCAGTTTCATACCAGGAGGATAGTATTGTGATGCCACTGTTTTTAGTGCCCTGTAAAGTTTGTCTGAGATATTGTAGATCACTATATCAAACTTCTGTCCTGAGTAGATGAACACTCTAAGGAATATTTTTCTCTTGTAGAATGCTAAAAGGAAAAGAAAAGTGCTAAAAGCATAAAAGCTAATAATTATTTTTCAGAAACTGGAAACCTGCTGAAGTGAGTGAATGGAATATGCTGATTCTTGCCTAGGGAAGCAAATCATGACTTGCTAGTTAAGGTTTTGAAGGCAATGGCAAACATGCAGATAAGTGATGTGGTGTCTGCTGTTTTGGTGTAGTGAGACTTTGTCACTCATTCACTATTTGATGCCTTTCCAGTTTCTTTCCTATTTGACGTCTGCTACCTTCAGTTTTGGCTAATCTAAATAATGAGTTTTTGAAGATCTTGACCATATAATTTTGCCAGTGAAGTGGCAATTGAAATTAAATATTGATGATTGCAAAGTGATGTGTGGGCGTATCACTGTGCTGATGTGAACTATACAGCGAGTAACACGGCTCTTGCTAATTCAGGAAGCTTTTAAACTCACTGCCTGAAAATACCAGTTTAGTACTTTTTGTCAGTCATAAAGGAGGACAATATAGTAGTAGTGAAGCTGAAAATAAAATGATTAAAAGGTCGAAATGTAAAATCAGGAAACAGCAACAGAAAATAACACAAAGCCATGAGACAGGTTCTGCAGGCCATCTTGCTAAATGATCTAGTGATAGGTTTGAAGTGGAAGAATTTTTTGCACAGCAAAACTGAATCATGGATCTCATTGTTGCAGAATGTTGTGGTCAAAAATACATGGGATTTTAGAAGGGATTAAGTAGATCTAAGGAGATGTGATTTGGCTGCAGTTTCTAGTTTTGGATGGCTCTTAATCAGATTGCTGGAAAATAGGACAGTGTAGCAAAAAAGGACATCTGTTTAATTTCTCATATTTAATATGGCTTTGTCAAGCATCTGGAGAATAGGCTACATGGGCTTTGGGGCTTGCTTAGACATGGCAGTACTTGTGGTTTCTTTCCAATGAAACATTGAAGTTTTAGATTCTGCAGAGGATAGTCTCAGTTAGTAGGGTAATAGCTTAAAAAGCTACAAATCTGCCAGAGGCGGGACCTCTGCTGTGCTAAAGCATTTAAAACCCATTTCTGGCAAAACAGTTTTCTGAAGAGGATTACTGAGTAATCTGCCTGCAAAGATGCCAGACACTGGCGGGTGTCTCTCTTTGAAGGCTGGACTGCCACTCCCCCTGCCTCCCTAACCTCCAAAAAAACCAAACAAAACCCTCACTTTGTCTATTTCATTGATAGAATGGCTACTTTTTCATGGTTTTATTCATAGAGTTTAACTAAGAACTGCATTTTTCCAGTAGTATTGCCAGTAAAATTATACAGGGATGTACTTTTTTATTTTTACTTGTAGGCAGATTGATAATTCAGTCAGGCTGGGAAAGTGGGGATGTCTGTTTAGCCACCATGTATATAATGCTGTTTCTGGGATATCATTCTGTATATAAAGCCTTCAAAATATGTGGCTAGTTAGATTCTTTTATTTTTTTAATCTACTGTAGTGAATTTGTATTCACACTTTATTTTTTTGGACCCATTAGCTGAATTTCACAAACACACTGCTGATAAAATATTTTATTAACGAAGTATTGGGACCTGTGGTTCACCTATGCATAAATGCTAGTGAGGAAGGCATTCACCCCTGAAAATCAGGAATCTAAAAAGGTGATCTGGAATCCTTTTTGTGTATGTGTGTGTCAGCTCTCACCAAGCCTCTGTCTGGTAAAATAAGTCACTGTGTGAAGCACAGGCCTAACTCGTTTGGTTCTTTCAGGCTCTCAAAAGTAGCAGAAGATACTATCAGGGGTTATTTTGAAGCTCGCCTTGTTTTGCTGGAGCCAGTGTTCCCACTTGCGTGTCATCGTCTCTGCGAAGGGCCAGACTTTTCTTTGGATTTTAACTATAAACCTCCACAAAATGTGCCAGAAGGTAGGGAGGGGTTCGTTGTTGTGGTGGGGGTTTTGTTTGTTTAAAAAAGGTAGAACAGTATGTTTAAAGCACATCTTAAATTATCTCCTATGCAAAATTATTTTTGTATGATTTTGCAGTACATCACTTTAAGACTGCTGTGATTATGGAACATAGAGAGAGCAATTATATTTTGATGTATTATGGGTATGGATTGTGTGTATTTTTTTTGAGACTTTTTAATTGCCATGTACAGAGTGTGAACTTGTTTCTGTTCATGGGTAACATTAGCTCAGTGACAGGCATTATAGGAAAGGAATGCTTTACCTTAGAATTAATGATTCAGGAAAATCTAGGCTTACTAGATTACTAGAGATCTTGTAGTGGATCCTTTCATTTCAATGGACAGTAGGTCACATGCTGAAAGCTTGGCATGTAGTCCCAGCAGTGCCCTGAGTGCAGTCTAGAAATACTAGGAAAACGAAGTAGCTGCAGTCAACTATGTTTTGCCCACAAAACCTTTGAAAAAACTGGGAATCAAACTCCCAAGGTATTTGGGAATGTTTCTTCATTCTTCCAGGAATTCAGATACTATTCTGTGCTGCTTGGCTTAGCTAAGTCATTTTTGATGAGTATATCAGGGAAATATCTACTGATACTGATTTTTTTTAAAGTGATAAATCATTGTGACTATTAGAATCCACTTGAACTCAGATTGAAAGTGGGCATGTCTGCTCAGTTTCCTGGTTGTTCAGAGTTGTTGGGTAAGTCTTCCAGTTCTTGATTATAGATATACTATCTTACAGAATTAAGAAACTTCATGTAAGTTTATGTATTAAAATGAAGCATTTGTGGGTAGGTCAAGTTGCTGCTTATTGAATTTCAGTGAGGTTCATAAAGATCTATAATTGACTGGGCTCAGTTTTCTGTTCTCTTGACTAGACCCAAACCACACTAAATTCCATAATTCTCTTTGAGTAAACCTGAAACCACAGAAGTGAACTGTGCTGAGGATTGCTGTTTCCATTTTGCATTCCTTTCTAATAGCCACATAAAATTATTTCTGCTGTGAAAAGTCCTTAACTTGGTGACCAAGCCAGTTGTTTTCTGGATCCACTGACTTGGGAAATGGGATTTTTGCTTGTTGGTTTGTTATTATACACCATATAATGTTTTTTTATCTCTATGTATTTGCACCTGTCTTCAAAGGTCCAGTGTATGCAGTTCTAGATAATGAGTCTCATTTAAAATTCATGTAACTGAATTGTCTTCCCTTTCAGGATCTGGAATTCTTCTCTTTATTTTCCATGCAAATTTCATTGGGAAAGAAGTTCTTGCTCGGCTCTGTGGACCATGCAGTGTACAAGCTGTGATTTTAAATGACAAATTCCAGCTCCCTGTATTTTTGGTAAATCTTTTCATATAACTGATTGACTGTAAAACTACTTCATAAAGTCTTTGTAGAGCAGCCTGGGCACTTTCAGTGCCGTAATTTGAATTTAAAGTATTGTGATGGAGCATACTTTTTACCATGATGAGGTTTTTCTAAAATGAAACTTAATTTTCTTTGGATATGGAGAGAACTGTAAAGTTTGCTTGTACTAGATTCCATAAAAATTTATGACTTAAATGTCAGGGACATAGTGCTGGACAACCTGATTCTAGGTGGCCCTGCTTGAGCATGGGGTTGGATTAGATGCCCTGGAGAGGTCTTCTCTAGCCTCCAACCTTCTGTGATTCTGGGACTGAGGCTTCTCCTCTAATTGACCAAGCCTCTCACATTTTTGACCCAAGTAAGTTCTTAAATGTTTTCTTAAAAACCTACCTCAAAGTTCTAATAATTTCTGGGGTTTCTTTTTTAATGTATTAAATGCATCACACTGCACAATTTTGAAGTCCTCTTGTTTTCTCAGCAGTTGCCTTTAAGGTTCATACACAATGCTCTTCGAAAAAAAGCATAGTGACAATGTTGTGTTCTGTTAGTCCTCTTAAATAACTCTTTCAGCCATAAACTACCATTAACTTTGTCCATTTTCTTTTTCCTTGTAGGACAGTCACTTTATTTATTCCTTCAGCCCTACTGCAGGCCTTAACAAGCTTTTCATACGGTTGGCAGAATCTCCTACTGCCAAGGTACAAAATGTCCTCAAAATTAAATGTGTGTGTTCATTTGTTGTACAGTAACTCTTCCATACTCTGAATGCTTCTAGCTGTATGTTGCAATTAAATGTATGTAAAATTAAGGATTTTCCTCTGTCTCCTCATCCCCGTTTCCTACATCCTGTGACATTGCCAGAACTTGGGAACATTGCCAAGGGTTAGTTCTGTTATTATAATGGAAACCATTGTTTGCTTTTACAGGTAAAGCTGCTCATAGGGGCTTACAGAGTGCAGCTGCAGTGACCTCTGAGCATGCCGAGTGGACTGACACTTTTTTGGATATACTTCTGATTCCTCTGTTCAGAGACTGACAAAGCAGTTTGGAACTTTTTGGCACCACACTCTGAAGTCTCAGTTCCCAGCTTGCTGCCACTCGTTGGCAGTCACAGGAAGAGTGTGTTGGAGAGCAGTTGAATAGGCTGCACTGGTGGGACAGGGTTATCAGCATTTTTTACTTTGTACAGATGTAGATGTAAGTATTTGTGCCAATACATATAATTCTGTTTTTCTTTAACTTGTGGAGTCCAGACTGCATATTTCAGCTTTTCCACAATGTGGAATGGTGCATATAAGAACTATTTAAGGTAATTACATGAAATGTCTTTTTTAAAGATCTTCATTTGTAAACTAAAGTTTTCTACTTACTCTAGTGTTTCTCTGTGAAATGCAGAACTGTCATATTATTGGAGCCATGGGCAGAAATTACACTTTAAAATTATTGCATTAGGTTTAACTTTTAAATTGCTGAGGGCTGTGTTCTGGTTTAAAACTGCTCCTGTTATTGTCTCTCAGTTAGAGTTATGCTTAGTGATTCCCTTTGAACTAACAGAGTTCAGTCTGCAGGCATGAACAAAGACATCTGAACAGGCTCAGTTCACAGAAGGGTTGCAGTCAGGTTCCCAGGTAAATCACTGGTTAAGCCTGCTTTGGTATTAGAGAAGCAGTCGATAGTTTTACAAACATCTTAACTTTTGAGGTCTTAGGTGACATCTGGAAAAACAAACACAAGCTGAAAATAGCAAACCAGAAAGCTTGTAACTGCCTTCAGTGTCCAGGCAGAGATTTTTGTAGACAAGAAGATACATAGAGAATTTCAGATGTCCTCAGCCTGACAGATGACAGAACATGTGTTGTCCTTTACTTCAGAAATTCAGTTCCTCAGTACAAAAAGCTGCTATCTTTTTATTTTATTATTATTATTATATTATTATTTTATTTAAATTACTCATCAGATGACAGCAGTTTTGAAATGGTCCTGTGCTGTAAAATAGAAATGTAATACTTCTGCATGGAGTATAGAATATTTTTCTTTGTAAATTAACCAACATCTTGAAAAGTAGAAAAAACCAAACCAGATCGTGCCTTTGCTGTTCTAGTTGTCATGTGTAGTTTACATGCCACTATGTGCCTATATTATTAGCAAAACTATTGTGCATAAATTCTTGATGATTTTGACTGCTCACCATCAAAATGGTGCAGCTGTATGAAGTATCCTTTTAAGAACTGTGATTTTTTTAATATAGAGTTCAATTAACCGGTTTTTAATTTTTGGTTCTTGAAGTTTAAATTTTTCATATTTAAGAGATGCCAAATGAGTAACAAAGGACACCAATTTTGTGGAATGTCACATTAAGCTATATAAAACTAGAACAGCAGCATGACATACAAATACTCATTTCTGTTTTGATTTACAATAGTTGCTTATGGTTTTGCACAGTATTGATGAAATCTTAACAAATTTGGGTTTTGAAAAGACTTTATACCTCCACCTCTCTGAAATATGTTAGATACCTCACTTTGCTAAGTGTGAACACCTGAGATGCATGAAAAGCACTGGCTGAGAATCAGGTATGTCACTGCCAGCACTTGGGACTTTGTGTAGCTGAAATTTTAGTCAGTGTGCATAACCCTGGATGATGCATAAGGAAAGGGGACGCTCGGTTTCCTTACACTGGAGTGCCAGGTTTCATCTACGTGGCTGCCCCTCACAGTTACTGTGGCACAGGACGTGTGGCAACACGGTGTGTGGGACAAGCTCTGTATAGCACCTGCCAGTGGGAAATGCTGGAGCTGCTCCAGGTGGGGATAAAAGGTGTTTTGAACAAATGTCTAAGTGATAGAGATGCTATTTAGAAACTGTTGTACAGTCTAACCTAAAAATGTCTAGTAATGCTCCAAGAGTTGATAGAGCAAGTAGTTTGTCAAAGGTGTTGATTTGGAGGGTTTTTCCAGATGTTTTTTATCTTGAGGCACTTGGGAGAAGGGGAGGAGTTCTACAGAACGTGGGAATGAAGATCTGGGTTTCATGATGCTTTTATTAGGGATGGATATTTTGCAGTCATCTTTCTCTTTTAGTTGGTAATATAAATTCAGAATCCCTATTGAAGATGCATAAGTGTATGGAAAGCTGTTTGAAGCTGGGTTTTGTCTGTTTTTATTGTATGGTTTTTATCCAATTGCTGAAAAAGGTTTGGTGGACAAAGGATGAAGAGAAAGTAGCTACAATAAAAAGCAATTCTTTAGGCACTGTGGAGAAATACCTGTGAAATACTTGCTCCGTTTCTTCTTGCTGCCACCAGCAAGGGCTGCAGCTGCAGTTCCCATGAACTGCAGTGGTAGCAAATGGTTCTGAAGGCTCAGGGTCCTTACCTTCACTGCTCCAGCACCAGTACTGCTGGTCGTGGTTTCTTTCACAGGTGCTGAAGGTTGGTGGGTGATGCAGCTGATCATGCCATAGGTCTTCTGTGCTTTCTGCACCCATTCACAAAAACAATATGGGTTTTGATCAGACTGCATTTAAGAAAGCTGTTCCAATATGGGGAACAGACAGCACAGCATTCTGATGCCATCTTAGCCAGCCGGGACTGCTCCAAGTGCACAGGAGCTGTCTCAAAATGTTCCGCTTGTCTGTCTCTGCTGTAATTCTGTTACTACCGTGTGCCTTTCCATACAGTACTGGAAAACAGCTGCTGTAACATGTCTTTCCTCAGGAAGTGGTGGCTGCCCAGGATCATGGGAGCAGTGACGACCCTGCAGGATGCATTCCTGTAGCAATGTGTTTAGTTTTGCTGGAGTCCATAATGGAGTCATGTCTCTTAAGAAGGCAAGAGGACTATATAAAAAGGCCATGTGTTTCTAAGCTCCTGCAGCATGGGCATGCACTGCAAGCCCATCACTGATTCCCAACACTTCAAAATTCTTGGCTTTCTGTGTCCCATGTAAACTAGGAAAATATTTTTCACCTCTTGAATGTCTCTTAAAATGTTTGAGTGAGGGACAAAGACAAGTTTGGAAAAAACTACCTGAAGAAGATACCACACACTAGACATTTGAGCAGAACTGACACAGCAGGAAAAATAAAGATTTAAAAGGGTCTCTCAAATCTCAGATACATCAAGTATAGCAGCCAGCAGGAAGGGACTAGGCAGATGGTTCTTTTTCAAGTCACCTGTTTTTCCACAGCGAAGTCTCATGTGTCATGCATGGTAGCTACAACTGAATCTTTTTCCAAAAATGTCTGTAATATTTCCTACATGATCTGAAGTGTAAGGAACTCCTCTGATCAGTTACTGGTGGCACTGGTGCAGTTAAAATAGAGGGGTCAGAACTTCCCATTGTCTCCCTCCTCTGCTGTGTCTGTTGCTCTTAATGGAAGGCACAGCTCTGCTGTTGAGACAACCCAAACCATGTGTATGGGAATTGAAGACAGGGAGATGAGGGCCTGCTCCAAAACTGAATTCATTGTAACTGTGTGGGCATGGACCACCAGAGCTTGAAGGGACAGGATTACCCATGTGGTGACACCTTGATCTGTAGCACACACTGCCACTTTGTGATGAGAACTCTTGCACCCTGGAGCTGTTACTTGTACAAACTTTCCCTAGCCAAGAACAGAGATGAATTTGGGAAGAAAGCCCTGTTAGGCCTGTTACAGCAGCTGCCTTATACTGAATACAGCCCTCCAGTGGGGGAGAGGGAAAGGTGCTGTGCTGACAGAGTTTTTCTAAAAAAGGCTTTATGAAGTTGGGTGAGACAACCTGTATGGAAAAGCTTGCACAGGAGCTTTAAAGTTTTTGGAAGTTCCCTCACCTTTCTAGATGTGTCAGCTCTACTGTGTCAATATCAGAATAGTTCTTTCTGTGAATAGCAGGGTTAAGATCCCTAAAACCACAAGTGAACCCCCTCAGACCAGGGTCTGGGTCCCCCTGCATCCACCCTTCCTGAAACCAAATGATTACCAGGAAGCCCCCAATGGTTCCATGGTGCAGGGAGTCCAGATAAGGACAGCCACACAGTACTGCCTTGCACTGTTTTTAAGTGTATGGTGCAACACTTCCACGCACTGAAACAAAGGTACAAGACTACCACCTTATTGCGCACCACTATCACAAGCCTGGCTCCACCTTCTCTACGCACTTCTCTTACACAGCTGGATTAACAGGATCTCTTAACCACCCCCACCTCCTCCAGCTGGAAAAAACCCTGCTCCCTGGCCCCATGGCTCCTGTGCTCCAGCCTTCTGATATCCCAGTGGCTTCCATGGGACTTGTTCCCACATCTTCTTGTCTTCAAGAGCCCAGAACTGGGCAGTGTTTCAGCTGCAGTCTCAGAAGTGCTGAACACAGAGTGCTCTTCTGGACCCTGCTCAGCCACCATCTTCTAATGGAGCCCAGCATGGGGGTGGACACCTTCACTTGTCCCTCAGAGCCTCATATCAGCTTCTGCAAAGCTGCTTTGCCACCAGTCTGTCCAGGATCTACAACTGCATCAACTTAGTTCAGTTCCCACTGCAGGACTTAATTGTGTGAGGTTCCTGCCAAGCCTTCATGTCCACTGCCTTGCTGATTTCAGGAAATAGAAAATACACATGCTGTTACTCATTTAATTTGAAACAGTGTTGCAATAGCTATAGAAAACCCTGGTGATATGCTACAGGCCACTGTTCAAATACATCACATAAAATTAATTTTTCATTCTTCATTCATGGTATTTCATCTTTTTATTGGCCTACATTAAGACAGCAGGCATTTGTAGCATAATTTCATACTCAGCGGTACAGACAACTTACTGCAGCTGTAATCTGCTCTATGATTAATATTTCCTTCCAGTTCTTTTCAGCTGTCACTGGCTCATAACATTTTTCTCTGGGTAATTAATACTTCTGTGTTCTTCTAAACTACTGCAGCATAAACACAATCCACATTACTGCTTCTTCTTTAAACCCTACCACTTCCCTGTTCTTTATCATATATTGTAGAGCTTGAAAATATTTTCTTACTTTTTTAAAGTCCAACAGCAATCATTTAAACCAGGGAGCAGTAATTTAATATATCATTTACTCTTTATTATTCTTGTAGAATGTACAAACTTTAATCCTTTTACTGACACCCATTTCCCTTAACACTGCTGTTTCTAGAAAGAAAATCTACTTCGAGTGCAGTCTAGATGAAAAGGGCGTCGGTACCTCCAGTTACACATCAAAGTAGACCAACATCAGCTTTACTGTGAAATGCTGGACTGGCACCACCTGTGCCAGAGGCTGACGACAGTAACATCACAAAAGCTGTAACTTGTCTCCTCATGTAGGAAGAGGTCTTGGAGCTCTCAGGCAGATTCTCGTGTCATTTCCAAGCTGAGGTATTGCTGGGGAACACACCACCTCCAGGCTGGGTCCCTTTCTTTTATTTCAAACAGTCCTTTTCCTTCAGGTCTCACAGGCCTGGCCTGTCTGCAAGCAGAGAGAAAACAGCTTAACTGAGAATGTTCAGTTTGTCCTTCTCCTACCTTCAGCCAGGTGTGACAGATTTAGTTACTATTTTATTAGATAACAGCATTATTTGTGTATCCAAGAGCACAGAGAGATACAAAGGAAAAAACCATACACACATTAAGCACAAAAATAGTACTAACAAACTGAAAACTGAGTACAAAATGTACCATTACAGGAATTCTAACAAGTGACAACCTGATTATAGTATAATCTCACCCGGATGGTCCTTGTAACTCCAGAGGTGCAGAGCAGCATTTTATACATCACAATGTAACAGCCATCTACAGTTCTGAGGGTGGGCAGCCACCGGTGGCTTTCATTGAAACCTAATGCATTCAGTGGAGAGGAACATTTCCAAGAAATAAGTATGATTCAGGCTGAGGAGCTACAAGAGACACTTGACTGATAACTTCCTTGCAAGTGTGCTTTTGTCATCAAAGTAGAGAATTTAAGACTCATACGGCAAATAACAGAGCAAC